GTGTTGGGGGGGGGGGGGGGTTATCCTTTAATGTCAATTTAAGTTATTAAATGGCAGGCATCCAGTAAAGGAAAAGGGAAATCTTTACTTGCTTTAAAAAACTCTGGGCGATGCTCCAATGATACACTTCTAAATGTGTCAAATAATGTGTCTCCTCCTGCACGATGTGGTTCCTCTCACCGACTTCCTATGTCACTATAAAACGTAGTTGTGGAAAGAGGGGGAAGTTACAATATACTTGTAGACAGCTTCCCTAAAGAATATCAATGGTCAACAACTAAAAATAAATATGTATTTCTATCCCAGATAGCAAGCAATTGAGCTGCAAGTTTGAAAATTACTTGCTAAACTATTGCAGACTTGTCAAGCTTCACAATTTTGCTGGACAATTACAGCAAGTCTGCATTGCAAGTCTCCAGATCAACGTGCTTTGCAAAAGTGCTGTACACTTGCAGAGCTCTTGCTAAGACCTGTAGGACTCTTGCTGTAGAGTAGCCAAGCAAATTTGCCACAAAAATTCAAAAAGTGTCAACTAGAACTTGTGCTGCATGTGTTCTGCGAGTCTACAACTTGCCAGGAATGTGTGCAGCAAGTTAACAAGAATTACAATTTAACCCTGCCACAAGTTTGTGGCCAGTTATCCTTGCTATCTGGGTATATTGAATTCCCATAAGTTCTATCCCACTCCTAATAACCATATCCATCTAATGTACTTCCTCAGTGTACTGACACAATTTCACTCAGCCTTGTGAATATGCACTTTCTTCCTGCCTTGGGAACTACAACTCAACGTCTGAACAATGTAATATTATCAGTGCTTGCTGGAAGCAATGCATGATGGGATATGTAGTAATGAGAAAGCGAGGTTGCATGACATCAAACAGCAGGAAAAGATGCGCAAAGCACACTGGGAAGTTGTTAAAAGCTTTGATTGTTTTATCAAGAACAACTATAGTATGGGGAGAATTGATCAAAATTGGAGTAGACAGAATCTGGAGCTGTTGCCTATAGTAGCCAATCAGCGTCTCTCTTCAGTTTAGCTTTGCCATTAATAGGTAGAAGCTGATGGTCGCCATGGGCAACTGCTCCAGATTCTGTCTGCTCCATTTTGATAAATCCCCATCTGTGTATTCCTAATACAATGCTGATGTTATAATAGGATAGTACATGCTGGGCCTTTTTGGGAAATGTTTTGCCCCGAGTTCTTTAACCTTTTCTGCTGTATTGTCCAATGGGGTCAGCTTACACATACTCATTAACAGAGAAGAACAATCTGTAAAGAGTGTTTTCTGTAAAATGTCACAACCTACAGTATATGGTTTATAGATATCAGTTCTGTACCAATCTGAACAATCTTCATTTATATTGCAGTGTTGTTTTTGGCAATGAGCTTATTCACATACATTCATAGTCCTAGTCTAAGTCATTAGTTGGGTTAACATGCAAAGTAAATACATGGTGTGTAAAATCATGTCAGTAATTCCTTTTATTAAGCGATATGCCAGCGCCTGAATTTAGTATGTGGAATAGATATGCTAACTCTTATGTCGATGTAACCAGGTCAGCTTTATCACTTTGGGTGGATTCAGTGTGTTAGCATGGTAAATGGATGTGTAATAGCTCTGGCATATTAATAGCCCTCTCTGCACAGCAGTAGCTTAAAATAAAATCGATTAACAAAGAGGTATT